CAACAAACTTGCAATAAATAATTTTCATAAAATTTTTAAATCCATTTAACTTTTCCCATTTAATGTTGTCCATTATCACAGTTTTCATCGCATACATTTTCTAGAAAGAAAAACAAAAAAAACTTTCATTAATTGTGAATATTACTCGTAAATATTTTTAGTTTAGTATTCTGCCGTAGTTAGTTCTGTTCTTCAACTGTTTTGCATCTGCTTTTTGCATTTCTTGTTTCTAAGAATTGGCATTCTTAGAATCAAGAAATGCATTACTACCTTAGTACCTTCCTTGTCTTTTAAATGTTGTAAAAGTTTATTTTCCGCATATAAAACTTTAGAGAAAATTAAAAAAAAAAAAAAGGTAAAAATATTTATTTTTTATTCCATTTAACTTTAGAGACATCCTGATTTAGTATAGAAAAACAAGTAAAATGTAATAATAAAATAGGAAAGATTTTCTTTCTTATTTCTTCATGCTTTTCCGTTTTTTTGTTTTTTGTTCTAAGACAGTTTTGTTGCCATCCAACTTTTATGAAATACTTATGTCAGTTATCCACTTTATACTGCATACATAACAAAAGGAGTGAGAAAAATAAAAACGAAAAATCTGCCATCTTTGTATTTATTATTATTATTTTTCGTCCTTTATTTCTAAAAAAACAGAAGAAAAAGAAGATTATTTTTATATTTTATGCCATGATGAAAAATGAGAATAATAAAAAAACAAACAAATGGAATAATATTAAAAAAGTTTAGAATATACGAGATAGAAGTTGACGTTCGCAATGAAAAATATTGTCCTTTCAATCGTTAGATTGTATTCATTTAATATAGAAATGGACTTGAAATCCTTTAGTGTCCTTTGTAACATTTCCATGTAAAATTCATTTTAAAATTATTGTACTTTGAAATAATATGTAATAGAAAATATTTTTAAAATCATAAAGAAAATTATCTTGTAAAGAGAGAAAGAAGTATTAAAGACGAAATAAAAAAGCTTCATGGAGCGGTGCAAGAACTCTGATTATTGGTGACATTTGTCCATCTGCCTAATCTCACATAATTTTAATCAAAATAATAACTTTCAGCTGTCAATCACTTTTAACAAATATCTGCGTGGTTAGTAATGTGAGCCGAACCCCAGTCTGTCGCTTTGATATCATCATCTCGCGACTACTAAGTTAGCTCAAATAAGATACGAACACTCACAGACATGAGGTAGCGGCATACTCTCACAACAGCCAATACTTCGTCAATACCAAAGTCCGACTGACTATTCTCCCCTACAGGACATTGCCAAAAATTACTTCGATTTCTTAAGATCGTATTTTGCCCACATTTTGTTCGGCATTCCGCATGTATATAAAGGTCTCTAATTGCAGTCAGCATACAGTGGATAAGGTTAACATATTGTATTCCCTTTAAAGGTATTGATAAGAACTAAAACCTATTCTGTTCGGCGGAAATGTCTCATGGTTAAGCTATACTTCTCTTTTCTTGTTGCTAATATGCATTAACAAAGCTTCGGAAATGGCATTCCGGTGCTTCTAATTTGAGGATTACCTGCACACGGTATAAAAATCCCCCCGTGAGAGTTCATCAATCTTCTTGAAATTACAAATTATGTACAATATTCTTCATAAGAACATTAGAAAATTTCGAGAATTAAGTATCTATATTTTTTTTAAACTACATGGATCACTTGTTTTTATCATTATATCTTCAATTCTTATAAAATATAATAGAAAAAAAATGGCGACAAAAATTCATATACATAAAAAAATCATGAAAGCTAAACAGGAAATCACCTTGAAAGGTAAAAATTTTTTTTTTACTTAATTTTACTTCTTGTTCTAAAAATTTAATTCTAAGCATAAGTAAAGGTACTTTTTATATTATAAGAGTTTTATAAAAAAAACTTTGCTTTCATTCTTTTAATTCTCTAAATAAAAGATAAAAGTTCTACATGTTTTTTAATATCTACCTTACTTATTTTTTAAATATACGAATGTAATAGTATTAAAAAAGTGACAATATTGCATTTAGTTGGAAAATTATGACATGAAAAAATTTGTAACATAAAATTAAAAAATTGTTGTTACAAATTGATCAAAGACATGGAAGCTGCTATTGTTAAATTTTTTTGTCTTTCTTCTGTACTAGGAAAAAGAATGTTAATAATTTAAAATGATAGAAGAAGGAAGTGTAAAATGAAAATTTTTAGAAAATATTTTAAAATTTTTTTATGCATTTTTTAATAGAGATTATAGTGCATTAGTAGAAGAGATATTTGTGTCTTGAAAAATAAAATGGAAAGAATTTAAAGGTATTTAATTATGTGTTGACGTCACACGACTAATATACGTGTAAAAATACTAGACTTATAGAACTGAGATCAACAGGTTTTATTTAAAGCCGGTAGGAGATTCTAATCAATTAGTTAAAGAGGGGAGGTGGTACCCTCAATGCTGCCACCCAGCACTAAACTAATAGAAAGCCCATCAACCCTTCATAATACATGATGCACGTCCTCCTCCACCACCCTGATGTCATGGTATCCCAAGCAAACATCCAATCTTAAACAGCAGGAAATTTTCAATCTTCTTGCCCATAAAGAAACGTTCCGCTAAAATGCCAAACGCAATACTAAGATCCTCCATTGCTCAATGCTAGCAGATTTCTCGTTTTTGCACAATCACTGTTCGGTAACAGGATCATTGTTCTTACACAAATTCGCCCGCCATCCCAAAGCAAACTCCCGTTCCTTCTAGCTTCCTCATTTGTAATGTTTTCAACACCCTCAAGACCGGAGGCACCAATCAGTCCATTGCGATTTTGTTGGTTCCCGTTCCAAATCTCGCCATTTTGGCGGCCCTCTCTTTGATATGTATATTAATGTTTTAAATTTGCTACAATATATACTTAAAAATATTTTAAATTATTTTAGAAAATTGCTAGATAATTAATTGTTAATACTTTAATCGTTAACATTTAAATTCCCGAATCGAATATGCAAGAGTTAAAAATATTAATTAAGTAAAATTCGTATTAATTATTCAACCCTTTATATGCACTTACAATGCAAACTTTATATTATGAGTACTCTCAAACGTTGTGCGGTGCAGACAATATTCAATTACATTATACAAATCTACTTATTATTCTAAAAATATATGAGCCATTCTACATAATCACATACAAAAATGCATTTCTAAACATTATTAACATGATTTTGTAAAATTTTTCTAACACAATTTAAACACTTCAAGTCATTTTGAAAAGGTTGTACAAACATTGTAATTTTTTTTTTCTATTGTCTAGATATTTCTCTGCATAATGCTAATCTAAATTTTATACACACATGTGGTAATTATTTAATTGTTTTACAATTAGGTTTATAATAGCTATTGTTTGAGATTAAATTGAATATAATTATAAAATATTTATTTAGAAAAAAGGAAAAAATTTTGTTTGTTTAAAAAATCTCAAATCTAAGTGAACTCAAACAATATTTTAATGGTGTAAAAATGCTGGTATTGTTCTCCTGTAAACTACTCCTGTTTTGCTCTTCATGTGCTAAAATAAATGAATTGAATAAATTTAAAGTTATTATTCATTTTGTCATTATCATGATGAATATTAAATCTTAATTTAAATTTTAAATAAAATTTTGTATAAAATCTTACCAAAATTTTTATATACAAAATAACCTTCACTTTTTATAATAATGGTTGACACACATCACTGTACATTTTACACAATATAAATGATGTGGTTTACTTAGTGTCAAATAAATTAAAGTCAAGGATATTTTATTTATTATTTTGTTAAATGTTATATAGAGTAATTACCACAAATGCAATTAATTTCAAAAACAAAACAGATTCATTCAATAGTTTTTTTTACATTTCAATAGTAAAATTAGAGTAGCAATGATAAAGGCGAAGTACTCGTAACACGAAATTTCGCTTGATGGAAAAAAATTCGGATGCCATCAAACTCATTTCAAACCTGTTTAAACATTGTCTTACATATATCTTCAACTATTTTTTGTGACAACGTGTATTATATTCAAATAAACTCTTGCAAACCCTGATAAGGCTGATTAAATCTTGAATTCGAACTTTCAGTTTATTATTGATATTACAACTTTATCCAAATTATAAAATTTCCTATCGTATCCGGTAGGTGGATTTCAAGAAGATGTTGGAGGGGCCTGTCTCAATTTGCAATACATGTCATATGAAAACAGATACTTGGTTTTTTTAGTGCTTAGCAAAATATTTCCAAAATAGTTCCAAAAACACCCACTTTAACACTAAAAATTCATAATAAATTTTTGTTTTATTTCAAAATTTTTCACATGGTGAAAATTATTTCATAATGAATATTCAAATAAAAATTTAGGAAGGTTAAATTCTTTGTTTTTTCCCTATTTTTTCTCTATTTTGATGTTGACAAATTGTGTAAATTTTTATAAATGTAGTTGGATTACAAAAGAAATCCTTTTACATGGTTCTAATGCATTTTATTAATAAAAACAAATTCATTGTTTTTTTTTAGAAACTAAATTTTTTTCGCAAGGTAAACTGGTAACAATGTTAAAAAAATACAATCATTTTTCTTTCAAAAATTTTCTTCTTTTGTTCAAATTCGTATATGTACTTGAAAGTTTTTAATGAAACTTTAATGAATTTATTTAAATAATCTGCAACTTAAAATTTTAATATCAAAATAAGTAGGGTAAATAATTGAAAAAAAAAAACGTTCAACAAGTGCGAAAATTCAAGGTTTGAAATTTACAGCCAAAATGGCATCATCCTTGAATAAATTGTTGCGACGTCTGTTGTATTTGATTTTTTGAGTGATTGAGCTAATAAGATATTTATAAAATTTAATATTTAGGCAGGATTCCTGCATTAAAAAGGTTTATATATTGCCAAATATATTCATTTTGAATTATAAATTTTAAAAAATATCAATAATATTTAATTATATTCTTACAGGGTTGGGTCGCATTTAGTTCACAAGGTGATCGTATAGCTTTAACACAAATCGAACAAATGATAAATGGTAATTACGTTAAATTAGGTTACTACGATACGCAAGCAGATAATTTAACGTGGTTAAATAATGAAAGATGGGTTGACGGAAAAGTAAGTATATAAGCTGTACTGAATTTATTAAATATTTTATTTATTTTATATTATAAGTATTCCCAGAATCACTTCAAGTACTATTCAGCCATTAAATTAACTGATCAGTTAAAAATTTAAAAATTCACAATCAGTAGCTAATTTTCTTTTCAGTTTGATTTCGCCTCTAAGCCGTCCTAAGCAAAATTTAGACCACGAAAAATCTAAATTACCAAAAATTTGTAAATTATCCTTGCTTTCCTCACATTTCTTAGAATAAATTATCATTACTCATAATTTATAAAAATTTGATAGAGTATGGTACTTATAGCTAAAATTATTTCCCATAGTTTATTTTAATTTCAATTAATTATTTTAGCTAACTGTCCTAAAATATATTGGATAGCAAATAAAATTTCCTACCAAAAGAAACTTTTTAATTTTGTATAAATAGATTTTAGCTATAAATTAACAATTTGAGATATTAAAAATTTTATAAATTTACAAATGAGAATCGATGTGAGAAATATGAATTTCAAGCCGATGATATTAAATTATTACTAGGTTAAAAATAATAATTAAACACCTGCATTTTTAATAAATGTACCTAAATCATTTTCTTGATAAGACAATATTAATTTCAATTCAGTGAGAAACCTGTATTTCTTGCTGAATTCGAGAGAAACAATAAATAAGAGTCTTTTTGTAAGAATGAGAGTCAACTTTTATTGAGTAAGGGTTAATTTGATAAGAATTTACGGAATGGCAAGATACCATAGTTATATTCTACGAATATTTAATTTTTCACCTGTTATTCAACTCGTAAACTTTAATATTTGACTCGAAATTAAAAATCAAAGTATTTTAATTCCTAAAATTTTAAAAGCACTTTTTATCACCACTATTTTTATTAGTAAAGTAATAAATTAATGATTAAATACTTTTACTTTACCACCTTAAAATACTTGATACAATAAAAATAGAAATGTCTTTAGCAGATTTTGTTTTTCTTCAAAAGTAATTTTAATATTATTGAAATGAAGTGTAAAATAAGAAAAACTAAAGTTCAGCAAACAAAATTGAATGACAAGTCAACCAAAGAAAGCAATAATAACGATAAGTAAGAACGCAATATTTCCAAATGCTTCAAGAAAAATTTGTAAAAAGTGAAAAAGAATTAAAATAATTTGGAAATTCAAGGATATTAAAATAACTAAAGGAAATCATATGACATTTGTTTTGAAATAAGAACTTTCACAGTACAGATTGTAGAATATAGATTTTCAATAGATCATTTGCGACTCATTGTAGCGCCCTTACGCTCATATCTATAATATCCCTATTCCAATTTTAAAGCGGAGATATCCCCAACTGAAGTTGGAAACCACACTTAAAACAATTGCGACGTCGGACAGCCAGTACCGGATATTCACAAATAATATGAATGAGGGTTTCGTCACTATCCTCACAAAATCAGCACAAGGGGGAGCCAGATTTTCCAAGCTTAGGCAAATGATATTTTACTGAACAGGACACAGTAAAATAAATTCACAATAGCACGAACCCGGGCTAGCGAAAGTCGCATTCTGCTCCAACCAGTTAAGCAAGCTTAGTCCGCAGAAAAGAAGAAAGTTGCACAAAATCCATCCATTGGATCCATTTTGGTGCCTAAATTATAAATAAAATTTATAGTTTAAAATTTATGATTTAGAACAATTTTTTAACTACCGCGATTATTTCACCTTACAAATAAAAATTCAAATTTACTATGCCCCACAAAATTTATTTCAAATACACCATTCAGAATAAAAGAGGAACGCTATTGCAATCTACTGAAAAAAAAAGCTCGAACCAAAATTAAAGTGCAATGACAGTTTTCTGATTCCTCATAGTCCCCGTTAACGATTTATTTTTTTTAGCATTAAGAGAATCTTAATAAATTATTTTTTTTTCTTGCGATTTTATTTCGGAGATTTAGAAAAGATTTTCTGAAACTTTTTTTTTGCGAAAGAAAAAAAACAAAGACTCCTTTATTTCCTTTGCAATTTTTATATATGAAAAACTTTACAGATAAAAATAAAATGAGTTCCTTGTTTTTTTTTTTGCGGAATAAAAGTTTTTAATCTAAATTTTCTTTGTAGAAATAAAAATTCTACGATCTATTTGAGAAAAAAAAACGAAATCTCTTTGATATTAAAGAACAACAAATGAAAGAGAAAAGAAGAGAAAATCATTTTATTTCTAGTTGAAATTAAAAAAAAAATACAACTAAATCTATAAAAAAAAAAGAGAAAAACAAGAATGTTGAGGCCGCACTAAGAACCCATCCAAAAGAAAACACACAAAAAAAATTGTTTTACTTATCGTGCACACAAAAATGCGGTCAGAAAATGCAAATTAAATAAAAAGTAAAACAATTTTTTTAAAATTAGCATTTCGTATGGCTATAGAAGACTAAAACTTAAGCTACTGAGCAAATCTCAAAATGAAAATTTTAGAAACTCGTTCTTACAAGAAAATTAAGGAAATGCTTCTAAGATTATAAGAGTCAATTAGGTCAAAAACGTGTCACTCTTTTAAAATGTGAATTCCTTATTTTTGGCACTAAAATAAATTCAAAATTCTTATATTTAATATTTTTCAAAGAAATTTTTTTTCAAAATTTCACATATGTAAGTTTTATACTTTAAATATTAAAAAAAATAGTAAAAGAACACGAAAAATTTGGAATTTAACATGCCCTCTTGATAACAAAAATTTTGTATCGTAAAAAAATTTTACTATTTGCATTTTATGTTGCAGTTTTGTTACCTATGGTATAATAAATATTATTGGTGTGCAATATGCGATTAATTTTTTAAAAGCAATGTAAGTACCTATACAGTGAATGACTTTTAATTCAAAAAATTTTACTATAAAGAACCACAGAACATCAAAAATATTTTCTTATATTTTAAAAATACTTAAAATTCTATAGTAGCATAAAAACAAAAGGAAGAACAAAATTTTTATTTAAAATTGTTGGAACTGAAGTTAAGTTCCTTTTATCATCACCCTTCTTACCTCTTTTATTAAAATGAAGAGCTCAAAATAATAAAAGTGCAATGTTACCAAAATGTAAATTGTTGTCAGCTTCTTGATCTTTTTTCTATTAAATTCTGTTTTTTGAAAACGTTTCTTCTTTTTTAGTTTTTTAGTTTCTTAAATATTTTTATTTCAACTGTGTTATGAAAAGAACACTCAAAAACAAAATAACTCTTTAGTGAATAAAGTCATAAAATTGTAAAGTCACCTGTTTTTATATTTGAAACCACCAAGTGTATGTGGTTTTTTGAATTTTTTATTATACAGGGATCTTAAATAAAAATCATGGAACCGCACGCTAGTATATTTATCTTTTTTACTTTGAATACTTAACTTTAAAATATAAATATAAAACATTTATATGCTCGCGTTTTGAGTGGTCGCTTATTTTTCTTTGAAGACAATTCAAAAGTTTTTATAATATTTTAAAGTAGCTTTTTGTTTACCTTTCTAAGGATTATTATTGTGATTTCATTGTCCCTTTGAAGCTCTATTATATAGTTTAGGATTTTCTTATGTGATATATAAACTGTTCTTCATTCTTTTACATCACCGTTTGTGTAATAGTGAATGATGTAATTGTTGAAAACTATGATATTATATATGGTTTAGAACAATGACCTTGATACTTAATTGATCATCTCCTTTTCCGTAAAAATTTGTTTTTCTTTCAGTTTATAATCAAATTTGGAATAATTTTTGTTCAATTCCGTAAACACTACATTTCGGATTTCAGCTTTGTGGCGTGGATATATATAGTCGATTTGAAGATTTTTTTGAGACCACAGCAAGTTGTGTTTGTAATTGATTGGTTGGCATTGTTTTATTCCCATATAACTCATAAAAATCTAAAATTTACAAAATAATTGCAGAATTTTAATATCAAATTTTTTAAATTTTCTTTTATTTACAATTAAACATTTATGTATATATTTTAATTTCTAATACAATAATTGTTTTTTCTTTTATTTTTAAGGTACCTCAAGATCGCACAATAGTTAGACATGTATTACGAACAGTCTCTTTACCACTGTTTGTATGCATGAGTACGATATCCAGTTGTGGAATTTTAGTAGCCTTAGCTTTAATCGTGTTCAATATATGGAATAGTCATAGAAGGTAAGTGTAATTAAAAATTATTATTTTAATTAAAGTCACTAAAATAACAAAATTGTAAGTACGTACTAAATATTAAAATGAACTCTACGGATTTATTAAGACGACTACGAAAGACTAGTCTGTCAGCTAGTTAAAGCTTATAGGAAACCTCTGTTTTAAAATTACTTCGACTTATTTAAAGAAATCTTAATGGCTTTTAAAGAGTATGTGTCTACATTTTATAATAAAATCAATAAGGGATTACCATTTCAAATAGCCAAGATCCAAAATATCAAGACAGCACCATAGGATGCTCCAAAAAAACAAATAATATACAATATTAATTATGAAGGTTATGTGAATTAATTCTGATTAGAGTGAAAATTTTCACACCTGTTCTTTTCTTTTGCAAGTTCATTAAATTTATTTCTTTAAGTTCATCAACACTTCATTAGAACTATGTTTAGTTACTGTTAAAAAGACCGTGTAAAATTATATAGGCAAACAAACAAAATAATGAGATATTTTTATAATACAAAATACAAATTTTATATTTGAATATTTAAGTATACAAAATTATCCTTTTCGTATATAAAAGAAAATAATAATAATTTCATTTCATTTCAAACACATTCTAATTTGTAATGTTTGGTAAAAAAAAAAAAAATGCTAACAAAGTGGCAAGAAAAGAGTTTCATTTTAAAAAGAAGAAAACAAAAATTTTTTTTTTCTCTGTGTACCCAGTCATCTTTGTGTTATTTTTGGCAAAACAGGCAATGGCAGCAATGCGTTATGCAATGCAGAACGTAAAAAACCATCATAATTAAAAAAAAAATTTTTTTGTGCATCCTTAATAAGATTTAGGACAAAAGTATTTCCGAAAGAAAAAGAATAAAAGATACGAAAACTTCTTCCTGGTTTTTTTTGGTTTATTTTTTTTTTTTAAATATCCTTTTTAATTAATTTCATTTTTTCCTTTTTCTTCTTGTATACTGTTAAAACTAAACAACTAAACGAATTTTTCTCTGAATCTAGATCAGCATAAAGTATAAATAAAATAAAGGAAAAACAAACGAATTTCCGTTTGTTAAAAAAAAATAAAAACATACACACACAGAAATTAATTTGATTTATCCTTCTTTTTTATTATTTCCAAGTTCCACTTTTCTCTTCGGGTATTTGTTTGTTTTTATGTTTATTCTTTAAATTTTTGTTATCTTATTATTGTTTGATAATTTTTAAAAAATAAAATCCTTTACTTATATTTTTAGAAAAATGTTGACAAAACGAGAAAAAGGACGAGAAATGTGTAGAACCGAAATACATTTGTTATCTTCCTGCACAAAAAACTGGGCACTTATGCCCATTATAACAAATTTTTTCGATCACCAATTTTTAATTACAATATAGGATAACCCTTTAATTGTTTTTATCAAGTTTTTTGAATTTAAGGACCATATCAATTATCAGTATTTGATACGATCCTTACGCATTTCGTTATCATCCGCATTAAATAAAACAGAAATCACTACCATCCCTTATTTACTCTATTTCCTTTATCACCAGTTCTTCAAAACAAGGATCTCCTTTGATATTTCGGGAAATTGTTGATTAATTTTAACTATTTCTACATTTGATGATTTGTAATAATCTCATTCTTTTATACATACAAACTTATACATAAAAATTCATATATTCTTAAAACAGTTTAATATCCTAGTTTGCCTTTGAACAATATATTTTTTTAGTAATTGAATAGTTATGATATAAACAATGAAAATATTATTTTCTATTTTGTGTTAAAAATAACAAAATTCTATTTTGTTTATACTATGGTTATAAAAAATGTATGATTTTTAGTTCGTTCCTTACAAAAAAAAATCAATAACAAAATATATACAAAAACTTTTAAGTAATATGCAACAAAACAAATCGAAATTCGTAGTTTGAAAAAGGAAGAGCAAGGATAATATAAAATAGGAAAAAGTTATTAATTTGTATATTGTTTTTGTTTATATATCGTTTTTAATGTAATGAGTTAGATTTGTCTGTTTTACATTAGTCTACGAAAAATTCAGTACTCGTAAATGTATTCAGTAAAAAGCGTTCAAATTATATTTGGCTTTGACTTCTGAAAAATCATCGATGTACAATGTACCTGATCTACTTTAATTGTTCGATATTATAAAATTATAGGTTACAAATAAATGTTATAGCATTTATAAAAACTAGACCTATTATAAAAAAAGTATAAATATTGAAAAATTTGTATGTCGGAAACGTCGGAAATGGAGGAACATTAAATGTTCCTCCATTTTCTCAATCAATTTGAGGGTTGACTATAGTACATGCACAGAAATGACTGGCGATTTTCTGTCAATGGAATCAAATTATTTCGAAGAAAATCTGGGAAAATTCTTGCTTTTAACAAAATGGTAATTGGATAATTACGAATGATCCTATAAGTAAAGCAGCCTTGAAAATTCGTTACTCATAATGAAGATCCATTCATTATTAGAAAGCAATTTTTACTAAACCAGTTTGTTCTACTCTCTCTTCTGTACTATTTTTATGCTGTATGTTGTCATATTCGGTCTACTTCAGCCTACTTATATATAATATCCTTAGAGACAATAAAGTTATATAATTATTTCCTTTGATAGGAACACCATCAAATCATTTCATACATATTTTTTTCAATACATACATATATAAATAATTTTTGTTATTTTTGATTTAAGACTTTGTTTACTAAATTTTTTTTATTACTATTTTATATTTAACTAAAATTATGGTATATTTCTCATATTAGATTGTCTATAATCCCTTTAATATCAATTTATCAATGTCGTGATTCTTATCTGATGTGATATTTTTTTCTATTATTTTTGTTTTGTTTTTGACTATATACGTATACTAACATAGACAAAAACATATTTAATTAATAGTATTTTTAGGGAATTTTATTGCTAATTTGAAATATGTACATATTTTTTTTTACTAATACCATATAAAGAAGAGAAATTTCAATATTTACAATATTTTGTTATCTACTATATAAGCTATACATATATGTATATACATATTGTCATTATACATATTGAAAAAATTTTGTTCTAATGAAAACAGATTTTAATTTTCTAAACATTTTTATTACTTTTATATATTATACAATGACAATAATAAACTCCATTGACAACAGTAAATTTATTATTGAAATTATTTATTGTATTTATTATTGTTATTATTGTTCTGTCAATTAAAATCAAAAGAGAAAAATAAATTGAATTTTAGGTTGTCAATAATATACTAGTAGAATATTTAAATGGAAATTGGAAATTTTAATATTATTAATGAAGAGAGTATATCAATTATATAAACATAAATTTATTATTGGGCCCCTCTTCTTTATATTGTAAGCTTGTTGAAATTATTATTCTATCTAATATTCAAAAAAAAATGTACAATTTGAAGACAATAAATTAAAAATTTTCTGATATACTGCATAGCTTTGTATACTTATGTATGTATTATTAATGAAAAATGTTTGAAACGTGTTCACTGTATGTACATGTTTTAAATATTTCCATTTTTTAAGTACCTACTTTAAGGGTGAAATTTGAAAATTAGTGCTTATATTTGAAAGAAAATGGAATTCTAAAATTTTCAATTTTTATGTAGTATGTCTAGGAATTTTATTATTTTTCGTCAAATATAGAGTGTTAATATATTACAGATTGTTAATTACCCTACAATTTTTTTTTCCGATACGATCAGCAAAACTCATTACTTATTAAATGTTTTAAGTGATTTTGAAAATTTTCAATTTAAAGTGACATAAAAATAATTGCTTATATTGACGTTATGTTCCTTTAAGGAAAAATATCAGGTTGAGTAGACCTAGCAAGGTGTTGAGGAGGATCAACAGGAAACATTTATTTTAACTGAAAATCATTTTAACTGAAAATCATCACATTGCTTTTTTAGTTTCCAAAATTTATTACGTATTTTTTTAACTTACTTTTGAACTTTAGATAATATGTGACCGTTGTATATTAACTTCACTGCTTTATTTGGAACACCACCTGGTTTTTTAACCGCCATAGTAATTGGAATAATACTTCTCTTTAATTGCTTAGGATGTTTATACCATTTCAAATATTCATCTATGCAGATACCAAGATATTTGATATGTTCCTTTCTTTGTATGTATTACATTATTTCTATTGTATTGTAGTCGTATGATATTTTTGTTTTTGATTTTTCAAATATCATATAATTCGTTCTTTAGCATTCATGCAAAGGCCATTGTGATGATTTTATCTGTGATTTTTATTTACCTTGCTTTTCCTATGAGGTTTTGTCAGCATATATTACGTACTTTGATTCAATGTTACAATTTCAAAGATTCATAACATAATGAATACAAAAGTGGTTTAAGTAGAGATCCTTGTGATGGTGTTTTCGATTCACACACTGTGCATTCTATTTGATAAGTAAACATCTGAATAAACTATTTGTTGTGCCTGATTTCTAAATATTTAAGAAAATCTAGATAGCGACTATGATAAACCGCATCAAATACTTTACTTAAATCAATAAAAACATGCGCAACGTTAAAACCTTCATCTAAAGCATCACCGTTTTTTGTCCACCCTTATGGATTGGTACTGTTCAAGCCTTATTTTAAACATTCAGTATAAATTCCGTTAGTGACACATAAATCTACCGTGTAACATGACGTTAATAATATGTGTAAGTGTTGAATACCGATAACTGTTATTCCATTAGACTCTAGTGCAGCATACTTATTTAGATTTGTAACAATCTCAATAATTTCATTTTCTGTTACTGGTACAAAATACCAAGATACCCTCTTCTTCTGCAAAACAATGTGCCAAATTCGACCAGAATAATTATCAAAGTTGTCTTTAAACTGATTATACCTCAAGATACACGCAACAAAAAAACTGAAAAGATAAAAATTTAATCTTAGTTAGAACTTAATTTTGCAACATAAT